CCGTGCTGCCTTTTGGAATCTTCTGTTCAGCTCTTTAGTGTCTTGGATTCTTCCTTGTGCTTTGGCTTCTCTACGTTGCAGTGCAATCTTCAGAGTTTCTTCTGACATCCATTTTGGTCTTTTCTTCCTCTTAGTGGGAAATAAATTAGCACAGCTAACTTAGCACCGCTCTGCTTGGAGTATTAAAGTAATCTTTAAGTTTAGAACTCTAAGGTGCCCGTTTAGAAGCTGACCTATATCTTATGACAACGACTTGTATGGTGTCTTCACAGAAGTAAAACTTCAATGAAATTCTAGTTGGTACCACTATAGAAACACGGGAAAAATATAGCCTTTAAAAAACAAATAAAATATATGCAAAACTTATACTTTGACTAGGAGGCAGTCATCAGAACAGAGCAAGGAAACACTGCATGGTTCAAAATTGGGACGGGTATGCACCAAGGATGTGTCTTATCTCTTTATCTTTTTAATCTATATGTGGAACAGATCATCCAGGAGGCTGGGCTCTATGAGCAGAAGTGTGGCATCAGGATTGGAGGAAGACTCATCAACAATCTGCGTTATCCAGATGACACAACCCTCCTTGTTGAAACTGACAACCTGAAAGTGCTTGCTGCAGAAGGTCAAGGACTTCAGCCTTCAGCCTTCAATATGGATTGAAGCTCAACATCAAGAAAACAAACATTCTCATCACTGGGCTGATTGGCAGCATCATGATAGATAGTGAAGAGACTGAAATTATTAACAGCTTCAATTTGGTTGGCTCTACAATCAACACTCTTGGTACCAGAAGCCAGGAAATTAAAAGACAAATTGCATTGGGAAAGGCAGCTGTCAGAGACCTCTCCAATGTACTGAAGAACAATGATGTCAGTCTGGAGACTAAAGTGTGTATGATACAGGCCATGGTCTTTGCAATCACTTGCAAAGTGTCAGAGAGCTGGACAATGACTAGGGATGATGGAAGGAGAATTGATGCCTTTGAGCTGTGGTGCTGGAGAAGAGTATTGAATATACCATGAACTGCTAGGAGAACAAACAAGTTCATCCTGGAAAGGGTGAAGCCAGGCTGCTCCTTGGAGGCAAGGATTCTGAAGCTTCGCCTGACATACTTCTTTGGACATGTTGCAATGTGGAATCAGAACTCGGAGATGGATGTCATGCTTGGGAGGGTGAAAGGACAGCGCAAGAGAGGACCTTCAATGAGATGGATTGATTCAGTGACTGGGGTAATAGGGATGGGTGTGCCAGAGACAATAAGATTATCACAGGATACAGCAGGGCTTAAGGCTGTTGAACATAGGGTCACTATGAGTCACAGGCTACTCCATGGCACATAACAACAACAACAACATTTCTCTCTCTCTCATTGCCATCAAGTTGGAAGTGATTCAGAGTTGCCCTTCTAGCAGGTTTTAAGAGGCTGTAAATCACAAGGGAGGAGACTGCTCACCTTTCTCTCTGAGAGATGCTGGTAGATTTGAACTGCCAGGGAGGTACCACAACTTCGGGTTAGCAGTGCAACTTTCTATTCACTAAGCTACCAGAGATCCCTATTTCTAGATCTATATATGAAAAAACCCATAAATTCATATTAGTCCAATTTCAATCCAACAACACAAGATTCTTCCCTCATTCCATATTTGTATTTCACATCTACAACAGTGAGAAACTTAGTTTCCAAATCTTCAAAATATTCACTCCTTTGTTCAATACTTCAACATACATAAAAGAATTTCTGAATAGCACAGTCTTTTATTAGCACAAGGGGGCTAGTGAGTAAAGATTTGTACTGTCAACCTGAAGGTGTGAGAGCTGAATCAATTAGCTGCTCCAAGAGGGAAAGAGAGACAATCTCTTCCTATGTGATTTACAGCCTCTGAAAACCACCTGGAGGGTTAGCTATGAGTTGTTCTGACTTGATTTCAATGAGAAGGGTTGAGTTTATTAGCAAGAGAAGCAAAGATGTTTATTTTAGAATCTTTGTGCCTTGTAGCATTTGTATGACAAGAATCTTAAATTTTATGATTTCTCCCTCAAACTATAGCATATAACCATGTTCTTATGTGTCTGATGACATAAACACATTCAGTCAAACTGCATTAGGAGTTGGCATCTTTTCAATTTCCATATATGGATACATTAAGCAAAAGCTCGTTAATTACACAGCATATACAACAGAAATGTGGGATCACGTAAAAGGTTCCGTTAACATTTCTGAAGAAGAGGAAGAAATAAAAATAAAAAACTCCTAGGATGATGAATTAGTGCACTCTGACCAAACTTTTGCCTTTATTCTTTTTTCACAACTAACAAAGGAGAGATGGGGAAAGAGTGCCATGCCTTTAAAACTTTATCCATTCTGCGACCCACTGAACAAGTGTGCTTTCGGAGTTTGTTTCAATCAGAACAGAAGGACTCTAACACTAAGTGGTGACTCACCTGTGAGATCATATGATTATTCAAGGGTGGCGGCGGCTGCTGCTGTGGTGTGGGAGGGAGAGCAGGAAGCTGCTGCTGCTGTTGTGGCTGCTGCTGAGGAGTACAAGGGAGAAGGCCCCGGATCGACTGGGGTGAGGTGACTTGGTTGCACACTTCTGGGGCACCTAGCACCATACCTAAAGAAAAGAAGAGATCCACCAAGAGCTGTAACACAAGCTGTGAACACACAAACCCTGGAAAGCCTAGCTGCAGGGCTCTAGCCTTTGCCTGCCCTCTTCTTCATTCCTCTGCTACCATTCCCTCAAAATCTTAATCTTTTTAATCTTAAAAGTTTTTATATACTTGAGTGATGGCTTAGAAATCATACTGGTTTTCATATAATCATTTATAGACACTTGTTTTGTAACATTAGTTACTATTGATAAACATAATGAATTGCAATGCCTCATCAACCCCTTACTGACTTTCCTTTTACTCAACTATCTAGTTATTAACTTCCCCCTTTCCTTCATTCTTAACCCTGCTAATCTTCCAAAATGGATTCTGTGTTTAAACCTCTCTTTTGCTTGTTATAGTAGTGGTCTTATACCATGATGGTCTTTAGTTTTTCAATTAATACATTCTATCAAATATTTCTCTAGGTCGTATAGCCCTGGTGTACAAGTTGCCGTCCCGCGGTCACTTGTGGTTGCTGTGAGGCTGAACACTTGTGACACTGATGTGTCAAATGCGTTAATGGTTGGCTACCCAATGGGGACAGAGAATGGGGTGGAGCTCCCTGATCAAAACAAGCGTGGAAGGAGGAGTGGCATCCACTTCATAATTGTTTGCCTCCGGAAACCCTATGAACCTGGAGAGAGGATGAAAGGCACCCAAGCGTCGAGGACTCTCCTTCATAGGGTCGCTATGAGTCTCCTGCAACTCGACGGCACTTAACAACAACATCAAATATTTAAAGAGATAAGATCAACCTTACACAGACTTTGTAAAAAAAAAGAATTAACTCCTTTTATAAGGTTAACATAACATTTCACTGATAATGGACATAAAAATAAAATCCACAAAAACTACAAAATAATATCTCTCATGAATCTAAATGTAAAAATTTTAGTAAATAAAATCCAGCAATACAGAACAAAGGATACTATACCATGATAGATTTTTAAATGTTAAAACAAATCTTACATCCCCGAAAGAAATTCTATGTAATTGGTTTAACATTTGAAATTCAATTAATGTTTCCTACATTTTGCTGTTGTTAGCTGCAGTTTGCTGTGACCCCATGCACAGGAGAACACACTGCCGCCCGGTTCTGCATCCTTCCCAGAGACCACTGTAATCCACAGTTTTATTTATTTCTTTAGATGCACACAGTTTACGCTGACTGATTTTCAAAAGCAGATCACTAGGTCTAGATCAGGACTAGAAAGCTTCCTAGTCCATTTTAGTCTGCAAGATCTGATCAGATCTGACCAGTATCACAGCAACATGTGAGTCTTTAATAACGTGGCTGATAGCCATGTATGCAGTTTCTTGGCTAGGAATTAACAAAAAAGTTTCCTTCCTTGCTGAAAACAAAGAGGACCTGGAGTATTCCCTGACAAAGTTCAAAGGTTATAGTCTTCCTTATGGATTACACTTCATAAACAAAAATCCTCATTACTGAACCAGTAATCAACATCATGGTAAAATGAGAAAAGTCTGAAGTTATCAAAAATTTCATTTTATCCACAATAAATGTCACCGGAAGCAACAGACTAGAAATCAAGCAACACAATGCAGTGGGCTAATATGTTACAAAGGACACAGACATGTGAAAGTTCGACTGAGTAAGGAAGACAGAAAAAGAACTAACATGTTTGAATTATGGTGTTGTTAAAAGAATACCAAGTATTCTATCGACTCAAAAACCCCCAAACAAGTATGTTTTTGAAGAAAGAAAGTCAGAATGCTCCTTAGAAATAAAAGATGGCTTCCTAATTTTTAGGGTTGGATGTGTTTGAATTGTAGTGTGGAGACGAGTCTTGAATATACCACTGGCAGCAAGAAGAACAAAAAAGTCTGTCTTGGAGATGGTGAAACCAAGTTTCTCCTTGGAGGCTAGGATTTTGAAGCTCCATCTCACATACTTTTGGGCATGTGGCTAGGAGAGACTGGTCCTTGGAGAAGTACACTTTGCTTGGAAGGGTGGAGGGACAGCCCAGGAAAGGAAGACCCTGGATGAGACAGATTGGTACAGTAACTGGGGCAATAGGAGATGGTGTGTCTGATTTCGTGAGACTGGCTCAGGGCAGGTTTCAGAGCTGTTGTACACAGGGTCTCAAGAGACTCGATGGCTCCTAACAACATGTTGACTATTACTCATAGTGCCCCCAGAACAACAGATCTTAACCTTTCCCTATTCAACATCATTCTTACAAACATCAGTATATCCTCAAGCTCACTGTTACATACTTTCTCTGTCTGGGTGGTAAGCTCCTGGATGATGTCACCAGATATGCTGCTTTAGGTTTATTTTCTGTGTTTATTCTTGGTGCAAAGATCTTTCTGTAGGATTTCTTGTAGAGCTGGTTGCATTTTCACAAATTTCTGTTTATCTAGAAATGTCCTAATTTCACCTTCATATTTGATGGACAATTTTTCTGGGTAGAGGATTCTTGGTTGGCATTTTTTTCATTCAGTATTTTAGGTATGTCATTCCACTGCCCTTTAACCTGCATGGTTTCTACTGAGAAAGCGGAGACTACTCTTATTGCATTGATTCTTCTTTGTAAGTGACTCTCTTTTTCTTGTGCCGCTTTCAGTATTCTTTGCCTTTAATTTTGGGAACTCTGTATCTTGAGGTTTTGCTTGTTGTGGTTTATCTTGTTGAGGGTTTGCTCAGATTCTTGAATGTATATTTTCTTATTTTTCATGATGTCTGGAAAATTTCCAAGCAGCAAACCTTCAAAGACTCTTTCTGTGCTTTTCTGGATTAATTCTTGTTCAGGGATTCCAATCACATGTGAGTTATTCCTCTTAATGGTGTCCCACATACTTTTAGGCTTTTATTGCTGGATTGTGATTACCGTCTGTTATTAATTACAAACAGCTAAACTCTAAAAACTCCTTCAGTTCCACAAACTGACTTTATAATCTTGAAGGCTACTATTATACTACATAATATGGACCTAGGCCTCACTCAGAAACCAAACAAAACCATCATCCCAATCAGTTTTTATTTGAATCAGGAGAGAGAAGGGCTATTATCAGGCTTATTTATGTCTTCCCACTGCCTTCATGCCAGTATGGTTCTTCTTAAAAAGTATGGAGTCTAGTCTTACTGGTTCTCCTTTAAAGGTAACTCTGTTTTTATTGGGCTGCTTTTAGTATTCTGTCTTTAATTTTTAGAAATTTTATTATGTCTTGGAGTTTATCCTGTTTGGGGTTCTCTCAGGCTTCCTGAACGCATATTTTCTCATTTTTCATAATGTTAAAAAATTCTCTACCTGCATATGTTCAATGATTGTCTGGATCACTTGCCGTTATAAGAGTCTAATCACGAGAGCAATAAGACAAGATAAAGACATTAGAGGTATACAAATTGGCAAAGAGGAAGTAAAATTATCCCT